ACAAATACTATCTGGGTGATTTCTTTCCTGGTCGCACTGGTGCTCCCAAAATAAAATGTCAGGTCGCACAGCAAAATATCTAGGAGCATATGAGATCAAAATGGTCGCACTTTAGAGCACTGCGGGCCTCGTGATTTGCAGAGTGCAGTGACAGATTGGCACACAACCAATTGTAACATTATGTAATTACTCACTTGCGTACCACAGCCCCCGCAAGGTGGGGGCCCACAGGCTCTTAAGCCATGGAAGAATGTGTAAAATAGCCATGACAAAACATGGCAATATGTGTTGCAGGAAATTAGTTTTAGAACATAAATATTTTCTCTTACTTAGCTATAAAACTGCAAATGTGCTCTCTGCCCCATGGCAATATGTGTAGAATTGAAGGAAATTAACTTTAAAATATCTAAATTTTCTTAGCCTCATTTAAAAACTTAAGAATAGCATAGCATGAGATTAGCTATAAAACTGCAAATTGTTCTCTGCCCCATGTCGTTGTTGGCTAATCACCACTAATCACCACTGTCCTGAAGCTAACATTTTACATTTACATTTTAGTCATTTAGCAGACGCTCTTATCCAGAGCGACTTACAGTTAGTGAATACATATATTTTTTTATACTGGCCCCCCGTGGGAATCGAACCCACAACCCTGGCGTTGCAAACGCCATGCTCTATCAACTGAGCTACATCCCTGCCGGCCATTCCCTCCCCTACCCTGGACGACGCTGGGCCAATTGTGCGCCGCCCATGAGTCTCCCGGTCGCGGCCGGCGGCGACAGAGCCTGGATTCGAACCAGGATCTCTAGTGGCACAGTTAGCACTGCGATGCAGTGCCTTAGACCACTGCGCCACTCAGGAGTCAGTTATCCCCAGTTAGCCTTGAGCTAGCCTCGAGCCAGGCCCATCTCCCGGCTATCTACCGCTCTGTCAAACGGACGGGACCTCCTAGTGTTGACACGGAGCCCCGCCGATCCATCACGACTGGTCAGCCAACATAATTGTCTGATGTGGTTTCAACAGGCTTCCCGTTGCGACGACCACGAAGATCCATCTGCTAGCCCAGGCCCGCTAGTACACGCAATCAACAGCCGTGCCTGTAGCGTAGAAGCCGCTGAACTGCTCCCGGACTTACTTATTGCTGTTCACTGGACCTTATGATCACTCAGCTACACAGCTGATGCCTGCTGGACTGTTCCTTTATACGGTACCCCATCCTGTTGATCTGTTTAGCCTCAGCTCAAACTTTCGTTGCCATTACCAGTTGTTGTCTTATCTCTCTTGAATAACACCTGTGACTGCTTTATGCCTATCTCCCATGTCAATATGCCTTGCCTATTTCTGTTTCGGTTAGTGCTAACTGTACTTTTTCAATGTAGAGCCCCCAGTCCTGCTCAACCTGTCTCAGATAGATCCTTTGTCCCACCCCCCACACACACGGAGACCGGCTCAATCGGTGCCTCCAGTGATGCTATCTCTTTCATCTTTACCCAACGCTTAGGTTTACCTCCACTGTACTCATATCCTTCCATATCCTTGTCTGTACATAATGCCCTGAATCTATTCTATAACGCCCGGAAATCGGCCCCTTTTTTTCTCTGTACCCAACGCACTAGAAGACCAGTTCTTAAAGCCTTTAGCCGTATCCTTATTCTACTCCTCCTCTGTTCTTCTGGTGATGTAGAGGTTAACCCAGGCCCTGTAGCCCCCAGTATCACTCCTGCTCCCCAGGTGCTATCATTTGTTGATTTCTGTAATCGCAAAAGCCTTGGTTTCTTGCAGGTTAACATCAGAAGCCTCCTCCCTAATTTTGAGTTATTCACTGCGTTAGCACACTCAGCCAACCCTGATGTTCTAGAAGTGTCTGAATCCTGGCTTAGGAAGGCCACCAAAGATTCTGAAATTTCCATTCCCAACCACAACATTTTCCGTCTAGATATAACTGCCAAAGGGGGCGGAGTTGAAATCTACTGTAGAGATAGTATGATAGAGCTCTGCAGGCTATCCAGGTCTGTGCCCAAACAGTTTGAGCTTCTACTTCTAAAAATCCACCTTTCCAGAAATGTCTCTCACTGTTGCCGCTTGCTACAGACCCCCCTTAGCCCCCAGCTGTGCCCTGAACACCATATGTGAATTGATTGCCCCCCATCTATCCTCAGAGTTTGTATTGCTTGGTGACCTAAACTGGGATATGCTTAACACCCCGGCCGTCCTACAATCTAAACTAGATGCCCTCAATCTCACACAAATTATCAAGGAACCTACCAGGTACAACCCTAAATCCATTAACATGGGCACCCTCATAGATATCATCCTGACTAATTTACCCTCTAAATACACCTCCGCTGTCTTCAAACAGGATCTCAGTGATCACTGCCTCATTGCCTGCGTCCGTAATGGGTCCGCGGTCAAACGACCACCCCTCATCACTGTCAAACGCTCCCTAAAACACTTCAGCGAGCAGGGCTTACAAATTGACCTGGCCCGGGTATCCTGGATGGATATTGACCTCATTCCATCAGTAGAGGATGCCTGGTTGTTCTTTAAAAGTGCTTTCCTCTCCATCTTAAATAAGCATGCCCCATTCAAAAAATTCTGAACTAAGAACAGATATAGCCCCTGGTTCACCCCAGACTTGACTGCCCTTGACCAGCACAAAAACATCCTGTGGCGTACGGCATTAGCATCGAACAGGCCCCGCGATATGTAACTTTTAAGGGAAGTCAGGAACCAATATACACAATCAGTTAGGAAAGCAAAGGCTAACTTTTTCAAACAGAAATGTGCATCCTGTAGCACTAACTCCAAAATGTTTTGGGACACTGTAAAGTCCATGGAGAATAAGAGCACCTCTTACCAGCTGCCCACTGCACTGAGGCTAGGAAACACCGTCACTACCGATAAATCTATGATAATCGAACATTTCAACAAGCTTTTTGCTACGGCTGGCCACCAGCTCTGCATCCTCCGCTGAAACTTGCCCATGCCCCCCCCACCGCTTTTCCTTCACCCAAATTCAGATAGCTGATGTTCTGAAAGAGCTGCAAAATCTGGACCCCTATAAAGCTGGGCTAGACATTCTGGACCCTTTCTTTCTAAAATTAGCCGCCGAAATTGTTGCAACCCCTATCACCAGCCTGTTCAACCTCTCTTTTGTATCGTCTGAGATCTCCAGAGATTGGAAAGCTGCCGCGGTCATCCCCCTCTTCAAAGGGTGTGACACCCTAGATCCAAACTGTTACAGACCTATATCCATCCTGCCCTGCCTTTCGAAAGTATTTGAAAGCCAAGTTAACAAACAGATCACCGACCATTTAGAATCCCACCGTACCTTCTCCACTATGCAATCTGGTTTCCGAGCTGATCATGGGTGTACCTCAGCCATGCTCAAGGTCCTAAACGATATAATAACCGCGATCGATAAAAGACAGTACTGTGCAGCCGTCTTCATCGACCTGGCCAAGGCTTTTGACTCTGTCAATCACCGTATTCTTATTGGCAGACTAAATAGCCTTGGTTTCTCAAATGACTGCCTCGCCTGGTTCACCAACTACTTCTCAGATAGAGTTCAATGTGTCAAATCGGAGGGCCTGTTGTCTGGACCTCTGGCAGTCTCTATGGGGGTGCCACAGGGTTCAATTCTCGGGCCGACTCTATTCTCTGTGTATATCAATGATGTCGCTCTTGCTGCTGGTGACTCTCAGATCCACCTCTACGCAGATGACACCATTTTGTATACATCTGGCCCTTCATTGGACACTGTGTTAACAAACCTCCTTCCGTGGCCTCCAACTGCTCTTAAAAGCTAGTAAAACTAAATGCATGCTCTTCAATCGAACGCTGCTTGCACCCACCTGCCCGACTAGAACCCCTACTCTCGGCGGCTCTGATTTAGAATATGTGGACAACTACAAATACCTAGGTGTCTGGTTAGACTAAACTCTCCTTCCAGACTCACATTAAGCATCTCCAATCCAAAGTTAAATCTAGAATCGGCTTCCTATTTCGCAACAAAGCCTCCTTCACTCATGCTGCTAAACATGCCCTCGTTAAAACGGACTATCCTACCGATCCTTGACTTTGGCGATGTCATTTACAAAATAGCTTCCAACACTCTACTCAGCAAATTGGATGTAGTCTATCACAATGCCATCCGTTTTGTCACCAAAGCCCCATACACTACCCACCATTGTGACCTGTACGCTCTCGTTGGCTGGCCCTCACTACATATTCATCGCCAAACCCACTGGCTCCAGGTCATCTATAAATCCCTTCTAGGCAAATCCCCGCCTTATCTTAGCTCATTGGTCACCATAGCAACACCCACCCGTAGTATGCGTTCCAGCAGGTATATCTCACTGGTCATCCCCAAAGCCAACACCTCCTTTGGTCGCCATTCCTTCCAGTTCTCTGCTGCCAATGACTGGAACGAACTGCAAAAATCTCTGAAGCTGGAGACACATAACTCCCTCACCATCTTTAAGCATCAGTTGTCAGAGCAGCTTACCGATCACTGCACCTGTACACAGCCCATCTGTAATTAGCCCACCCAACTACCTCATCCCCATATTGTTATTTACATTGTTATTTATTTTGCTCATTTGCACCCCAGTATCTCTATTTGTACAACATCTATCACTCCAGTGTTAATACTAAATTATAATTGTAATTATTTTGCACTATGGCCTATTTATTGCCTTACCTCCATAACTTACTACATTTGCACACACTGTATAAAGATTTTCTATTGTGTTATTGACTGTACGCTTTGTTTATTCCATATGTAACTCTGTGTTGTTGTTGTTTTTTCCACATTGCTTTATCTTGGCCAGGTCGCAGTTGTAAATGAGAACTTGTTCTCAACTGGCTTACCTGGTTAAAAAAAGGTTAGGTTAGCTGCTCAGACCTTGTGGGGGCCCTGGGAAACTGTGGTACGCCACTACTTACACACATGGAATAAGGAACAAGCAACTCTCTCTCACACACACTTCCCCTCACCTCTCCCTCTCCTGCTCCAGCAGGTTGGTGAAGTCATCACTCTTGTTCATGAAGTCTGTGTGTTTGCGTTTCTCGCTGTCCAGCTCATTAACCGTGCGGCGGTGACACTTCTCGGCCAGCAGCAGCTGTTCCAGCATACGCCTGTACGTCTCGCGATGCTTGTCCTCCAGCCGGTCCAACTGATCAACATATTAGAGGGTTTTCAATGACAACCACCATGTTTTCATCCCAAATGGCACCCTATTCCCTATATAGTGCACTACTTTTGACCAGGGCCCATATGATATAAAGTTATTCGCTATTAGGGAATAGAATGCCATTTGGGGCGCACACAATGTCTGAGTCATTCATACACTGGTATCTATCCAGTATATTAGTTACAAACATTTACCTCTTTATCAACACTGTATAGCGATCTATAGTATAGTATTTATTTTGATATGAACTTCTATAGCAACCTGGACTCGGAGGTAGACGTAACATAGTTAAGGTAAGGAATTAGGTTAAAAGGTTAGGGGAAGGGTTAGCTAACATGCTAAGTAGTTGCAAAGAAGCTAAAAAGTAGTCACTAGTTGCTGATTAGCTAAGATTGTCTGTGATGAGATTCGAACACGCAACCTTTGACCAACCACTATCCTTTAAAAACTTCTGTCTTATGTAAGCATACCAGACACAACATACTTTGAGTGTCCCGGATTTACATTTACTATGTTATGTCTAGTCTATGAGACCAGGCTGTCTATTAAATTTTTTTACATTTTAGTCATTTAGCAGACGCTCTTATCCAGAGCAACTTACAGTTAGTGAGTGCATACATTATTTGTTATTTTATTTTTCATACTGGCCCCCCGTGGGAATCGAACCCACAACCCTGGCTTTGCAAACGCCATGCTCTACCAACTGAGTTACATCCCTCCCCTACCCTGGGCCAATTGTGTGCCGCCCCATGGGTCTCCCGGTCGCGGCCGGCTACGACAGAGCCTGGATTCGACCCAGGATCTCTAGTGGCACAGCTAGCACTGCGATGTAGTGCCTTAGACCACTGCGCCACTCACCTCTTGCATGGGCATCTCATAGACGTTGTCCCCTAGCATTGTAGTGTTGGTCAGAAGGCTGTCTCTCTGCAGGGCCTGGAGGGGTTTGATGGGGGCAGCTGAGCCGTAATGGGCCTCCAGGGCTTCGGGTCGCGTACGCTCTGACTTCAGCATGTGGATGATATCCTCTCTGGCCTACGGACACAAGTAGCAGGGGGACATGTTAGGTCACCTAAGAACCATTTAAACAGAGATAAAGTCAAGAACATTATGTTTATCTTTCTTTTACCTTCTTTATTCTCAATGACATTTGAACCACTTCAAATTGACAGTAGTGAGTAGTGACACTTGGAGGTTGTTATTGTTTTTAAGTTGGGAAATTTGATGATACTATCTTCACTAGGACACAATTTCCCCCTTTAACTGTTTTAAATGTGTTATGTTAACTATATTTGTTGAACTTGGCCCAGGTTTACCATTATTCCATACTTTAGCCATATAAGTGCACTTAATCTATCAACTACATCTCCTTCAGTTTGTTTGGTTAATTGTCTGGTCTAGTTAATTGTATGCAGGTGTGTGGGCCACACCCCTAATTGGTTATTGTCCACACCTGATTGTGTTTCTCCTTTAAAATGGAGGTTGAGAGCAGTTTGGGGAGATTTTGACAATGTGGTAAGAGGCTAGACAGAGTTTTATCCTCTGTGATCCCATCTGTTTTTAATAAAGATGTATACTTTTTTTGATTACTTTTCAGTCTAGTTGTATTTTAACTTCTTATGTGTGTGGAGTGACGGCCAGCTCCGTGACAGGAAATTATTTTTTTAAATGATTGATAAAAGTGCAGTTTGGCTCGCCAACCCTGTTCCTGGAGAGCTACCCTCCTGTTGGTTTTTGCTCAAACCTGCACTGTTAGCTCAACTCTCCCCACAGGGGGGTGCTGTTCTCCTCAGTGAGACCCCTGAGTGTCTCCTTTCATACAAATGCAATCCATAACACAGGTTTTTTCTCAAACTGCCCCCATATGCCCAGCTCCGAGTAGTGCACTATATAGGGAATAGGGTGCCATTTGGGACACAGTTAAACATTCCTGCATGGAGATGGACACAATACCCTTCTTTATCTCACTCTATATAAATGATTAATAGAGTTGAATTATTGTCATACCACTGTACTATAATATCATTAGCAAGTAATTTAGCATGAACAAGACCATTCTTCAGTGTTGATAAGACATTCAGAGCATGTTGGATTTCAACATAAGGTGTAGGAGGAGGACATGTGTTGTTGTTTATCCCAAGTTGCAACTTTGCAAAGTCATCAACATGCCTAAAGCTGGATGGCGAAAGGGATGAGGGTGCACTGATGGCAGCAGCATCACTCCCTCCATAGAGCCCCACAATAGACGTCATAATACCAATAAAACCTAGCTGGAGGGAAATGGTTCCAATCGTTTTTCCACCATTCATTTTTCCCATAGGGGATTTTAGAAACACTTAAAATAAGGGCTGTGTTTTGGTAAGGCTTACCCTGGCGTGAAGTTTTGATAACCGTGTAAATCTCTCTCAGACAAGTTGACTTATCAATATATTTGGCTCTATATCTTCCTGTTTGGCCCTGTCCGGGGGTTTCTTCGGATGGGGCCACAGTGTCTCCGGACCGCTCCTGTCTCAGCCTCCAGTATTTATGCTGCAGTAGTTTATGTGTCGGGGGGCTGGGGTTAGTTGGTTATACCTGGAGTACTTCTCCTGTCTTATCCAGTGTCCTGTGTGAATTTAAGTATGCTCTCTCTAATTCTCTCGTTCTCTCTTTCTCTCTGAGAACCTGAGCCCTAGGACCATACGTCAGGACTACCGGGCATGCTGACACCTTGCTGTCCCCAGTCCGCCTGGCCTTGCTGCTATTCCAGTTTCAACTGTTCTGCCTGCGGTTAAGAAACCCCTACCTGTCCCAGACCTGCTGTTTTCAACTCTTAATGATCGGCTATGAAAAGCCAACTGAGAGACCTGAGCCCTAGGACCATACGTCGGGACTACCGGCCGTGGTGACTCCTTGCTGTCCCCAGTCCGCCTGGCCTTGCTGCTATTCCAGTTTCAACTGTTCTGCCTGCGGTTATGGAACCCCTACCTGTCCCAGACCTGCTGTTTTCAACTCTTAATGATCGGCTATGAAAAGCCAACTGAGATTTATTCCTGATTATTATTTGACCATGCTTGTCACTTATGAGCATTTTTGAACATCTTGGCATGGTTCTGTTATAACCTCCACCCGGCACAGCCAGAAGAGGACTGGCCACCCCTCATAGCCTGGTTCCTCTCTAGGTTTCTTCCTAGGTTTTGGCCTTTCTAGGGAGTTTTTCCTAGCCACCGTGCTTCTACACCTGCATTACTAGCTGTTTGGGGTTTTAGGCTGGGTTTCTGTACAGCACTTCGAGATATTAGCTGATGTACGAAGGGCTATATAAAATAAAATTGATTGATTGATTGATATTTACTCTTAGCATCAAAGTAGACATCATGCAAAACTACAAATCCCTGCAAGCTCCTGCACGTCATCTCTAGCTGACACCTTTGCTAACAGGTATTGTGTCATTTTAAAACTTGCCCAAGACAGTTCACAGAATTGTCAATTTAAAGAAATGTAGCCAATTTATTCATTACTACATTTAGCTAACATTAGATAGTTAATCCAGAGATACTTACCTTTGCCTCGAGTAGGCAGTCTCGTCCAGATCATCATGGTATTTGTAGTTCTGTATGATAGCCACATTAGCAGCTAATTAGCGTTTCACCTTGTCCGAGAGACATGGTTATCAAAACGTCACGCCAGGGTAAGCCTACATGAAACACAGCCCTTATTTTAAGTGTTTCTAAAATCCCCAATGGGAAAAATTAATGGTGGAAAAACGATTGGAACCATTTCCCTGTTTGAGTGGGGCAGCGTGGGAAGGGACCAGAGTTAATGGCTGCTGACACTTAGGTTGACTCTCAACAGCAGTGAGTCAGCATCGTGACTCTTGGGTTACGCACTCCTGGTTACAGTAACATGTCAAGCCAGACACAGAGGCTGAGATGATGAGAGGCTGAGATGTTACCACCTGCCAAATATAACCCAAACCACTGACCACAATGTTAGCAGTTACCTAGCACACAGCAGCCCAGTGTCAGTGGAGAACCTCTCACCTGCACCTCTCCTTCCATGACTCCCAGCAGACGGAGAAGGTCCTCCTTAGAGAGATCTGTCAGCCCTGCTGCCTTCTTTTGTCCTCTACTGCTCTCTGTGGTTCTCTGGGGCCTTTTCACTGTTCCAGACACCACTGTCTTCCCCTCTTTCTCTTTCTCCGCCCGCTGGACCTTCATTTTCCTCTTCACCAGCTCTGGTGTGTTCTCCCCCTCCTCTTTGGTGAAGGCTTTGGTGGGCTGGGTGACCTGGTTTATCTGTCTTCCGTCTGGGCCCTCCATGGCTGTGCTGCACCTGGACCGCATTCTCACCTGCAGGGCGGAGACAACAGGGACTCTGAATCCATAGCCCAAATAGTTCACACTACGTTACCCAAAGAAAAACTTGAAATGGCCCTCTTGGTGGCTGTAAATTGTTTAGAGACAATGAGGATTCGATCAGTTCCCTTCCCTGGCTTTGGATAGCAGCTATTTTGATCACAGTGGCCATTTGGGAGGTAATAGTCAGTGGCTCCCCCACTCCTGGCATAACAGGATCATGTTTTGTTTACAAAGCCTGAGTCATGTAGTGCGTCATTATCTCTGCAGAGCAACATAATCATTTGACAGTATTGAATGACAAATAATATGCCATGAGGTCACTTCTTAAAGAGAGTGACAGGATCTTAAGCATTTACACATTTGTAGCATATTGTACAAATTGGAATTTGTAACATATCATACGAATTGCAGGACGTAACATATCAAATCGATGACATTGAATACAATTGTGCACAACTTTCGGGGACCCGTTTTGGCTCGTGAGTGTTACTTTCTATGCCACAGGCTGAAATTATACAAAATCTGCCCTAGCATAACTGTTTTTACAATGAATATTCTCTGAGCATTAATTATATGGGGTTGTCTCTCATGGCATATGTTTTGAGCAAGTTGAAAGTGTCGCTAACATTTCTCAGTGGAGATCTCCCTCAGCCATACAACATTAACCAGTAAGAAAGCTTGTACGAGAGAGAGTAAATAACATTTCTGTAATCTCAGCCACATATACAAGAAACGTCTGACCTCTGTGATTGCCAACAAGGGTTTTGCCACCAAGTACTAAGTCATGTTTTGCAGAGGGGTCAAATACTTATTTCCCTCATTAAAATGCAAATCAATTTATAACATTTTTGACATGCGTTTTTCTGGATTTTTTTGTTGTTATTCTGTCTCTCACTGTTCAAATAAACCTACCATTAAAATTATAGACTGATCATTTCTTTGTCAGTGGGCAAATGTACAAAATCAGCAGGGGATCAAATACTTTTTTTTCCCTCACTGTAAATATGACCTCAAGACTTGTAATCAATAGCAGAAAAGCAACATGTTCATAATTTCCCTTGTGATCTCACATAACTTAACCTCTCACCTCTGACTAATGCCCTATGGCCTATGTCATTCCCGCTGTACTAGTATTTCATACTGCTCCCTTTTTCTGTTTCTTAAATTGCTGTACTTGATTATAATTAGGTGTGGGACCCAACTCTGGGAGTGAGAATGGTCTAGAACAATGTTCTCATAGGGACTTTTAACATCTGGAACCAATGGAATATTATGAAGCAAGTAGCTATAATAGCAACTGTGTTATTCTAACCTGGATAAACTAATATATTCAGTGTGATGTTAATGCATCAAAAAACATGTGACCTTGAATGGTAGGCTATATGAACCAATGTATACAAATACATGACTACCATGACTTTTTAGCATTCTAGTGTAATTTGTAACCTCTTTCACCATACACTTCCTCTCTATGTGCAATTAGCCTAGGGACGAGGTTAGCATAGTTCTAACTACAGTGTATGGAGTGGGTTAGTTACTGCTACTTGTACACTCCACACTCCGTACTCATATTCAAAGAGCAGGGAGGACGTTTCCTGGCCAAGAGCTCTCGCCTCCTACTGTGCCAAATCACATCCATTGTTTCCATTGTCCTAGAATCTATAGAGCCAGAGTCACACTTTCCATCATATCACACCAGAGGAGTTGCTACAGTATGCCTGGCCTGGCTGGCCTTGTTTGGACATTGATCAGACCAGTGTTTGTTGTCTGTGTCTGTAATAAGTCAACATCGCCATCAGAAGCATCATAATCAAAGCCGATATGCTGTAAAAATGCAGATCACAGAATACACTCATAACAGATGGGTAATTTTAATTGAATTTGGATGATAGATAACTGAATCGTTCAGTGTGAATCAAAATAATTAGCTCTCAAATCAGGGGTTGTGCTTTGGGACAATGCCAGTTATGATGGACACATCAACACAACAGCCCAGGCAGAAGAAACAGACACAGGGGATCCATAACCTTGGAGGGAGGGAGCGACACGGCGGGGGTGCTCATAGAAAGAACACGATGAGACCATTGGATATGAATGGGGCCAAAGTTCCCCAAGGTTGCACAGTCTCTGATGAAAGCAGCGTGTGACTCAGGCTGAGAGAATCCTGGCAGCCAAATGGTAGCAGCCACTTTAGAGTTGGGCGTTATTAATAGTTGTTTCAGGGGAGGATCCAAGCACTCCGTCGGCTACAGCCATGGATCTGTCTTAATTTTGAGTGTCAGTTTGATTCGAACCAAAACGAAGAGTTGTGTACAGAAAAATAAACATGACAAGCCCAGGGTAACAGCAGGTAGAATATTACATTGGGATGTTTACCTATGAAAACGTATGCACTCACTAACTGTAAGTCGCTCTGGATAAGTGTGACGAGGTGTGAATAAAGGAGTCAGGCGCAGGAGGTAAAACACCGAAGTCCAGAGTTTATTCCGTTCACATAAATCAAATGCTCCCAGTGTGAAAATGAAACTATAACAAGGGAAAACATGCCAACTTGGTAAGTCCGAACAGAAGCGTAGCTCAACCGAGTTACTCGCTCTCACAATAAACAATCACTCACAAAGACAAGGGGAACAGTGGGAATACTTATATACATACTCATTAGGGGAATGGGCACCAGGTGTGTGTGATTGACAAGACAAGACATGACAAGTGGAGTGATGAGAATGGGATCGGCAGTAGCTTGTAAGCCGGTGACGACGAACGCCGAAACCTGCCCGAACAAGGAGGGGAGGCAGCCTCGGCGGAAGTCGTGACAATAAGAGCGTCTGCTAAATGACTAAAATGTCAAATGTAAAGGTTCTGTATCGAATATCTCAAAACGGGCTCTGGGGAAAGAGTGGCAATAATATTTACGATGTAATATTTCTGAAGTGGTTTCATACCATATGAAGTCACCCACTACAAGTTACTGTACATGTTCTCCTCTGTCTCATACCCACCCTTCAATAATAGTGAAGTTAGAACAGAAAACAAAAATGGTGTTTGGTAATACTGTTGTTCACAACTCCCTTTAATTGTGGATTCACAGCACAGGAGGTTGGTGGCACCTTAATTGGGGAGGGCGGGGTCGTGGAAATGGCTGGAGTGAAATAATTGGAATGGTATCAAATACATCAAACACATGGTTTCTATGTGTTTGATGCCATTCCATTTACTCCGTTCCAGCCATTAATATGAGCCGTCCTCCCTTCAGCAGCCTCTACTGATTCACAGGCGCTATCCAATGGTAGGCTAATACGCAAACCATCACTATAACATGATGACGATATCATTATGGTATCAGTTCACACATTGAATCCAATCTGAGCCATGTAAACAACATTCCCTTATTACTAATGTCTAGGCTACAATGCACAGGACAATTTCCCTGTTGCCCAATATCACACGTTGATGAGCACGAAGATCATGAAGAGCAGCTTAAGTACGGATCACGCCAGGCTGGTCTCCCCAACTTACACTTGAGCCTTGATAAAACCTGGGACAGCTGTGGCCCATAGCTGATGGTACAGCATAAATGCATCACAAATGGAACCCAATTCCCTACATAGTGCACAACTTTTGACTAGGGTCCATAGGGAATAGGGTGCAATTTGGGATGCAACCTATGTGAATTCTCTGCCCATGAAAATAGGGAGGTAAATAAGGGCAGGGTCCCTATTTCTGAGCTGGACCTTTGGCCGGGCGGCATGCACAGCTGTCTGCTGGTTAAGTTTTCAGTGGCTATTTATAGGAGCCCTGTCCCTCAACTTGTGCAGTGGGACCCAGAAGTGGAAACGTCAAAAGGCGATCACTTTATAAGCCATCAGCATTCTAAACAGATGCCAATACTTCTATTTTACTCCACAGCTGTAGGTTTCACACACACCAGTAAATAAATCTTCACTGCTTCTTGTCAGACTGGGCTGCACTGCACATATGATCACACAGTTGCTCATTCGTTCATACGATCCTCTGCACACATTTTTCGAGAGGTATGCAACATCCTTTGATATTCAAAGACTGCTATTTATATAAATAAAATGGTGGAAATTGATAACATTTCTTGGCTTCTCTCACACACATTCGTCCATGGGCATAATGACAGTGCAGCTAATCTGGGAAACAAAGACTGGTGGTGTTGGCCAAGGCAGTCAGCAATGACTCTTATCATTTTTATTTTATATGATATGTATAAACATCTCACTGGCAGGCTGACAGTATCACATCCTGGTATTATGGCAGGTCCACCTGCTAGTTTCTCTCACGGTGCATTACCACATACTGCAGTGAAAGGGAGAGTGTTTAAGTGCTTGACTTAGTCAAGCGTGTCTGCTCTCAGCTCGTCCAATACTTCCTGTTGCCACACAATGCCTTTTAGATGTATTCTTTGGCTAATTTGGTTCCTGTATAGTTACAGAGGAAGATCTGACACATTGTCTCGTCCTATTAGGGCTACTTGAGGCTCCCTGTGTACGGTCTCACAGACCAGCCAACTTAGCCCCAGTAAAATTAGGTACTGGCAGGTGCCGGCAGCTGTCCAAATCCCCAACTACTTGATTTTGTAGTTCTTCAAAAATGTCCCTTTGAAATTGAATTTCGATTCAGTCATTCATGTGACTGAAGAATCCCAATGTGACTAAATATGGGAAGATGAACATAGGCGGAGAGGCTTCTTATTTTGAGGACCGAAAATCCTATCCTGCTGCAGTAACTCACTCAGAGGGAAGGGTAGAAAAAGCAGCATAACCCAGAGGTGTAACGGGACCATACACTTGCCACAGCTATACTCCTCTGAGAATTTTACTGGTGACAATATGATGAGTAGATTTCACCCCATTTCCAAAAGCAAAATATTATGCTGTGGTTGTCTTGGCAACCCTGTATGGGGTAGACAGTAGAGAGAGCTGTGTGCAACATCAGAACTTAATGCAGCTTTGCACTTCGTTTATCAG